GGACGGCCGCAGCCGGCGGAACCAGCCACTGCGTTGCGGGGGAAGGGGGGGAGCATCCTCGACCACCCCCATAGAATTTTGGGTTGCCCCTCCCCCCCCCTGCCCCCGTGCCCCATATTCTCGAGGGCTGCCTCTCTGTCCCGTGGCCACTCGCATTCCTTCTCCTCCATTCCAGCCTGCGGCTCGCCCAGAGGTGCTCACGGAGCCGTGGGACTCCGGCTCAAGGAGAGGGCACCGTGTAGTGGACTTTGCAGAGGGACCCTTCTGGACCCGAGAGCTCCAGCATACGTGTCCACACTGTGACCTCCACTGGCGGGACAACAAGGTCCCCCCTCCCTCCCTCGCCTTGTGCACCCCAAACAGGCAATGACGTTGTGGCCCAGAGCTCCCCTGTAACGAGAGGAAATCTGGTCCCAGGAAGGGGGTCTGCATCACTGCTGGCCCCACCCCTCCTGGGCTCACTTGGGGGGCCGCTGAGAACCAGGTCTGGGGCTGCCCAGAGGCGTGGAGGAGGAGCTCCCTTCTGTTCGCCCATGGCTAGCGAGAGAACCCTGCCTCTCTGTTCCCCCCAAAGCACACACACGTGTCTTCGTCGTCCCCCACACACACCTTCTCAGAGAGGCAACTTCCTTCCAGCGTCTCCCTTTCCTTCCCTCTCCCCACGTCTTCAGAACAGCCTGGAACTGAGATTCCAGACAAATGTCCTTTTTAGACTTACTATCCTCAGGTTGTTTTTAGCGAGATCCGCTTCCGATGTCAAGGTTCTAGGCCGCGAGACCTTGTTGTTTTTTTACTCGACTGTTGACGGTGCCCCTGCACTGGACTCCGAACGGTTCACACGCGGCAGCGTTTCTGTACACGTGAACGAGAGGTGGCTTCTCTCTTCCGCTCCGTGTGTAGGGGTGGGGTGTCAACTCTGTTCTTGCAGCACAGCCACCCAGTTTTGTGAAATAAAAATGCGGGTTTTTTTAAACAGGAAAGAATGGGTCTCTGTCCAGTACTTTCATTGGGGGGGAGCTGAGGGAGAACCAGGTCAAGCCTCTGCTCAAGGCCAGCGCTGGACAGAAACTGCCCATCCTGGCACCAGCGAACGAACATGGATGCAGTCCGCCATGAGAAGAGAAGCCAGTGTTGGATCAGGCCAGTGGCCCCTCCAGTCCAACACTCTGTGTCACACAGTGGCCAGAAATACCAGGGGCCATCAGGAGGTCCACCGGTGGGGCCAGGACACCAGAAGCCCTCCCACTGTTCCCCCCCCAAGCACCAAGAATACAGAGCATCCCTTGCCCCAGACTGAGAGTTCCTATCAATACCTCGTGGCTAATAGGCACTGATGGATCTCTGCTCCAGATGTTTATCCAGTTCCCTCTTGAAGCCGTCCATGCTTGTAGCCACCGCCACCTCCTGTGGCCGTGAATTCCATGTGTTCATCACTCTTTGGGTGAAGGAGGAGTTCCTCTTATCTCAGCAATTTCATTGAGTGCCCACAAGTTCTTGTGTTGTAAGGGAGGAAAGTCCTTCTCTCTCGACCTGCTCTGTCCCATGCATCATCTTATAAACCTCGATCATGTCACCCCTCAGCCGTCGTTTCTCCAGGCTAAAGAGCCCCAAGCCCTTTAACCTTTCTTCATAGGGAAAGTGTTCCAACCCTTTGATCATTTATTACACCAGGAAGGGCTTCCAGCTGTTCCAGTGGTTCATGGGCATGCACTCTCCCCTGTAGATTGTGCCCCTCAGTTCACATCCCTCCAGTGTGATACCCGGAATACCATCCACACATGAACACACACGTGAAGGTGCCTCCTCCTGGGTCTCGGGCTGTGGTCTTTCCCATCACCTCATACCTGGTCCTTTAAATGGGAGATGCCGGGGATTGAACCTGAGACCTTGGGCATGCCGAGCAGATGCTCTACCACTGAGCCACAGCTCCAAAGTTGTGGGGCTGTCACTTAGAAGAAGAAGAGATTGGATTTATACCCCACCCTTCACTACCCAAAGGTGTCTCAGAGCAGCTTACAAACGCCTTCCCCTCCCCACAACAGACAGACACCCTGTGAGGTCGGTGGGGCTGATAGAGCTCTTGACCGAAACGGCACTTTTTCAAGGACAGCTCTTATCAGAACTACGGGTTGCCCAAGGTCATCCAGCAGGTGCAAGTGGAGGAGGAGTGGGGAATCAAACCCGGTTCTCCCAGATTAGAGTCCGCTCACTTAACCACCACACCAAACTGGCTCTCTATGGTATGGTAAGTGCTGCCTCTGGCTACACTATTCAGGCAAAGGAAATAAGGGCACTTCGGTAAAGGAGCGGGGGCAGGCAGATCACAGAGTCTATCTCCTGTTGTGTGAAAGCAGGCAGGGACTGGAACATCCTTAGACCTTGAAGCAAGTTGGGCTCTTGGGTTTTGCTCACTTGACATTGAGCAGATGCCGTGTTTGGGGCTTCCTGGTTTATTGTTCCCTTCTGCCAGGAGTGGCAGCCTCTAATTTGAAGTACCTGGTTGGATTCCCCACTCCTCCTCTTCCTCCCCATGAAGCCTGCTGGGCGACCTTGGGTCAGTCACAGTTCTCTCAGAGCTGTTCTCAGAGCTCCCTCAGCACCCCCTACCTCACAAGATGCCTGTTGCAGGGAGAGGAAGGGAAGGTGATTGGAAGCCCCTTTGAGACTCCTTAAGAGAGCCAGTTTGGTGTAGTGCTCAAGTGCTCGGACTCTCATCTGGGAGAACCGGGTTTGATTCCCCACTCCTCCACATGCAGCTGCTCAGAGCTGTCCTCTCAAGAGCAATCCTCGAAAGGGCTCTCTCAGCCCCACCAGGGCTGGCTCACTCACTAGGCGAACTAGGTGATCGCCTAGAGCGGGCTGGCCCTTAGGGGCGCCAAACTGCACCCGGCCCCATACTCTGGGAGTTTCTTGATTATTTGGGGTTTTCATTCTTCCTAAAATGCATTTATTTTTGAAAAATGGTGGGCGCCCCGGGGGGGGGGGGCACCAGAAGGGATTCTTGCCTAGGGTGCAAAATAAGCTGGGGCCGGCTGTGAGCCCCACCTACCTCACAGGGTGTCTGTTGTGGGGATGTGGGGAGGGGAAGGGGAAGGAGTTTGTAAGCCGCTCTGAGACTCCCTTGAGTAGTGAAGGGTGGGGTATAAATCCAATCTCCCCTTCTAAGGCACAGGAAAGTGGCTTGTTCTGCTAAACTATGCTAAAACCTACTCTTGTTCTGCTAAAACCTACTCTTGTTCTGCTAAACTATGATGGGAGCACAAATTGGGAGGGGGGGAGACAACTGAAACATATTCCTGTTTCACTTCTGCAAACCGCTGCGATAGATGGGGGGTGGGGTGGGGATCATGAGCACCTAAGAGAAGCCCTGCCGGACCAGGCGTGGGGCCCATCTAGTCCCGCCTCCTGTCTCACAGAGGCCAGCAGCCAGGGAAGGCGCTGAGAATAACGGAACTGGTGGTATAGCAGAGCCTTATTCAAGTCCTCGCCAGGGTGGCATCGGGAATACCGTGTACAGTTCTGGCCACTGCATCTGAAATTGGAGGGGTGGAAAGGGCAACTATTGCAGAGGACAACGAAAAAGGTCGTGGGATTGGGACATCCTTTCTACATGCTCAGGCCCAAGCATTTGGGGCTTCAGGGTTTTGGGAAAAGGCCACTGAGGTGGCAACGTGGTAAAGGTGTGCAAAATACGCCTGGTACGGGGCAACTGAACAGACACTTCCCTCCCAGATGGTTAGAACTCTGGCTCACCCAATGACACTAGTAGTAGATTCAAAAGAGACAGTAGGCCGTTGACCTGTGCGATTCACTGCCACGAGGCGTGGCGATGGCCACTGGCTTGGATGGGTTTAAAAGGAGGTGGGAGAGATTTCAGGAGGAGCGGTCTGCTGCTGGCTATTAGCCATGAGAGATGAGTTGAAACTTTAGGTCCAGCACAGTGCTCCCTCTAAGACAGGAGTGTCAAACTCATTTGTTATGAGGGCCGGATCTGACAAATGAGACCTTGTTGGGCCGGGCCACGTGTGTCATAAAAGGTAATACCAGGTAGCGGAGATATAAACTTTTTATAAAGGACACAAGTACAAAGGATTTTTAAACTTAAGATAAAAACATGCTTGAAACATTAGCACTCCCGCAATATTTTGTTTATCACTGACACCTCTTGCTCTGAATGATTGCATCAAAATTTCTGTGCTGTTGTAATCTTGAGTACGCTGTTCAGGTGTGTATCTGTAAGCTGCAAACCTATGATGATGCAGCAGCAGAACTGGACGAAGAACCAGAAAGACAGCCAGTTCCACTGCGGGCCTGATAGAAGCCCTCTAGGGGCCTGATCTGGCCCCCGGGCCACATGTTTGACACCCCTGCTCTAAGATGAGTTAGTGTAGGTTAGCTCAGTTTTTTTAGCCTCTGGCTAACACATTTTTGTCATAGCTCTGGAAGGAGGGCTCCAGAGCAAACGAATTTATGCAGCAGCCAAATCACTGGCTCACAACTTTAATGCCAGCAGCTCACAAAGTAGAATTTTTGCTCACAGGACTCCACAGCTTAGAGGGAGCATTGGTCCAGTGGCGGAATACCCAGGCCCATAGCTATTATTATGGTGGGGCCTCCCGGGGTCTGGCCCCCTGACCTTTGGGGAGAAGTGGGAGCCACACACCTGCACTCCAAGCTGTTCCCCCTGCTTTAAATGCTTTGAGGGGGAAGCAGGGGCTGCGTGTGAATTTCAGTGCCCCCCGACTTTTTAAAAGGCCCCCCAAACTAAAAACTTCTGACTGTGGGCCTGGGAATTCAT